AGTTCAGATTAGTCATTTTACATGTCAGTCAGACAGATCTTTCTTGAGTAAGTGGAAAGCTCTTGGCCAGAATAAGATTGAACAGACTTAATGCTGATTGAGTTGTGTAGCTGTTGTCCTGTGGGCATTAAAGTGAGCGAATGAGAAGTTTACACCACATGAACAAGTCGAGTTGCTTTGAAAAGATCTCTCGGTCGGATCTGAGCATGAGCTGTAATTATGATCAGTCTTGTAAGCTTGGTCTTTTTCTTGAATTGTGTTCCAGGCTGGTATCAGTCTCTCAATCCCTGTCCTTAACCCAAGAGTGTGACTGATGGTATTTATAGAGAGCTGCCTTTGAAAAGGGAGTCAAGCGTGTGTGGAAATGCAAAACTCACTCATGCGGTGTGTGTCTGATTATCAAGAGATAATTCTCCCTGTACAAACTAAGTTCTCTCTCTCTCTCTCAGCCCTCTGTCTGACCCCGCCTTTCATAAGATTAAACGTCTTTCCACTGTGTTTTTTTATACTTCACTTCCTTGCTTTTGTTTTTGTTCTGACAATATGAATTATTATCATCTGATATGATTTATCCAACTGTTTTTTTTTTAGGTTTAGGTTCTGTACCCTGCTGATTTTCTTTCAAATACCTGGGTATCAGCACTTCATCTCATTTTATATGGTTCGGTGGTGTGAATTCCACAAAATATTGGGTTTTATAAAACTGATATTGGTTAATTAAAACAGTGATTGGTTTCACCAGTATTTTTAAACAATATTTTTATTATTCACCCTTATCAACTTAAATTATTTTTAAAGCAGTGATGTAATGAAAAAGTAGTCCTTGATATTTTTAAAACTACATGTACATTTTAATTGTTTAAAAAAAACTTTTAAAAAAATTTTTTTATAACGTGCCTTTTTTTTCCACACGTTTTAAGTGTAAGAGTGCAGGAGTGGAGACACACACACACACACACACACAGAGGGAGAAACACATATACAATTATATTTAATTATTACTAATTCAAATGATAATAAACATAAGTATTATAATTATTATTATTTTATATAAAGACTATGTGATATGAGTTAGTTAGGTTCAAGAGCAGTTAAATGCTGTGAAATTCTTCCAGCGTGGCCAAGTATCTGACTAAACTTTTTGTTTGGAATGACTCCATGGCTAGCTTCTGCTTCTCTTTGAATAATGAGAACAAGAGTTTGTTTTCATTGAGGTAGATGCGAGAGATGCGAGATCAAGCTGTGTGGAGTTTTGGACCCTGCTTTACGGCTCTTTGACGTCATAGATCAGGATGTTCAGCAGCCGCTGTAAAGATGTTTTCATGTCGTCATCATCACACTCTTGAAGCCCGTAGCTATGAAGCCATCTCACGAGAAAGAGGAAGAGGCGAGTAAGAGCATTCTTTCTTAAACCCCCCCCCCCCCTTCTACCTTTCACTGCTGGAGGTGAGAGGGAACGCGGGGTAAGGAGGGAAATAGTTAATCAATAGCCACAAGGTCAGACAGATGAGCCTCTGCTTTGAGTGTTCCCTGTTAGTGGGTTGGAGCAGAGGATTTGTAGCGCTTGTAAAGGCTTAAAGGAACACTCAGCAGTTATTTGTGGTGGTGCTGATGGTCAGGGTGGCAGGACTGCAGTGTGTGAGAGAGAGAGACACCTGCTGGCCTTTGACTATCACTGCAGCCACAACGACCCAAATCCTGTCAGAGCCTTTTGCCAAATTAGTATATAATTTAGTATATAAATATATATAATTGAGAAGCCAAACTCTTTAATATATTACTTGTTTAGAGAGAATATATATTTTTATTATTCAAGCATACAATTGAAAAGTTGGTAAGAATTTAAAATGAATAAAGAAATTAATCATTTAATTCAACAAGGATGCATTAAATTGATCAAAATATATTATTTTAAATATATAATACTACTGTTTTACTGTATTTTTGATCAAATAAATCCAGCCCTAATGAGCATGGTATTTATTCAAAAAATCTTACCACCCGCAAACTTTTGAATGGTTGTGTAAATCTATCAAAAGATAAAGATAATTATATGGGAGATATTTACATTTACATTTAGTCATTTAGCAGACGCTTTTATCCTAAGCGACTTACAAATGAGGACAATAAAAGCAGTCAAAACTAACAAAAGAGCAACAATAAATGACAAGTCTCAGTTAGCCTAACGCAGTACACGTAGCATTTTTAAATAAAGAATAAAAAATAAAAAAGATAAATATAAAGTAGAATTAAAATAAAATAGAAAGTGTTAGAGTTAGAGGGTCAAATAAAGATGGAACATATGTGTTTTTAGTCGTTTCTTGAAGATGGTTAAGGACTCAGCTGCTCGGATTGATTTGGGCAGGTTATTCCACCAGGAGGGAACAGTTAATGAAAACGTCTGTGATAGTGATTTTGTGCCTCTTTTAGATGGCACAATAATACACCATTCACTTGCAGAACGCAAGCTTCTAGAGGGCACATAACTCTGAAGTAATGAATTTAGGTAAATGGGTGCAGAGCCAATGGTGGTTTTGTAGGCAAACATTAATGCCTTGAATTTAATGCAAGCAGCTACTGGAAGCCAGTGCAAATTGATGAACAGAGGTGTGACGTGTTCTTTTCGGCTCATTAAAGATGAATCTTGCAGTGGCATTTTGGATGAATTGTAGAGGGTTTGATAGAAGTGGCTGGAAGACCTGCCAAGAGAGCATTGCAATAGTCCAGCCTGGATAGAACAAGAGCTTGAACAAGGAGTTGTGTTGCATGCTCTGAACGAAAGGGCCTGATTTTCCTAATGTTGTATAAAGCAAATCTGCAGGACCGGGCAGTTTTAGCAATGTGGTCTGAGAAATTCAGCTTATCATCAATCACAACTCCAAGGTTTCTAGTTATGGTTGATGAGCCTAACTGGATGGTGAAATTTTGATAAAGTGATGGGTTTGTTGAAACCACAAGCAGTTCTGTCTTAGCCAGAAGACAGAATTGATTTTAGATAATATATATAAACTTTTTATATTTTATATATTTTTATATATATACTTTTTTATATTTTATATAAACGTTTATATAATAAATGTAAGAATTTTTTTGAGAATGATTTTAATTTTTTGTTTTTTTTTCAATACAAATATTGATAAATATATACATCTTTTGCAGTGTTTCAATCTCTTGCACATTTGCTGGAGATTTTTTATTAAAATGGGAGCAAGTTGTGCTTTTGTGTGACTCTGAGGTTGTGAGTTCAGCACACTTCCATTATGCAGGTACCAGGCCTATGTCGCCTCATCCATGACTTACATGCTTAAACATTTCATGCGGGCTTAAGAAAGCACTCTTAATACCTGTCCCAACATCACTTCCTGAAATGCACTGACTGCTTTAACATACTGTATATAGGGCACTATCTAACCCAGTGTTTCCCAACCAGGGTGCCGTGTAAAAAAATCATTTTTTAATATTTTTAAATGGCTAAAATGTTCAAAAAAGCATCTATTATATAATATCCATTTCTGATGTCACCAATAAGTAGAGATGCACCGAAATTTCGGCTGCCGAAAATTAGTTCACTGCTCGGGTTTCACTTTCACATGGTGTGACGCTCTGCGTATTATCCCGCTCTATGCGTGTGCGCTCCGCTCAGTCGCTCCACTCGTATACCGTTCATGCGAATCGGAACAGCAAAGTCCGCTCAAAAATCGAGCTGACAGGAAACATCGATGTAGTACAGTATTGTTTCTGTCTGCAATAGCCCTACTGTGTTGTAACATGGTGTGGTATATGGGCAACTCTGGTAACGCTGCCCTCTCATTCATTGATCTGCTAACTGCTATGTTATGCTCACGTGTTCTGATAATAATAGCTTTCTAGAACTAAACATTATTTGGATAATTGGTAAAAAACTAAAAAAAAGTTAAATATCTTGACCCTACTGTTAGACCTACCTGAAAAACTAAAAAGCAATTTATTTAATTCGAAGGCCTGTCATTATTTTTTTCATTTGTGCTATCATTATTAATTTCTTTATTTGTTCTCATTTTATTACTGATTGCTTACTTGTCATTTTTATTCAATTCAAAGTTTGAAATCAAGCTATCTCGTGCTACTGCACCAAAATTACCCCACATTAAAAATATCTGTATGACATTATATTCTGCAGATCTTCCCTGTTGTACCGAATATCTATACTTTTCAAATTATCACATCGAAGTTAGAAATTCAAATATTGTGACAAAATTAATTTTGTAGGGTGCCACAAGTTTGTTAAAATTTCCAAAGGGTGACACTCCCCGTCCTGTCACGCACACAGCTGAGGTATTTGAAGAGAGCTTTATCAGACCGCTGCAGTGGGTGGTGGGGGAATTTTGCTGTCTGCCTATTTTTTTTTTCCACATTTGTGCCTTGGAATTTTAAGAGTGATTGCTCTGAAGTGGCCAGATGAGAGATGAAGCCCCGACGCTCCCGTTACTCACCCATTAATCCTTCCGCATGTCGGCGCAGTGAGTTACAGCACTGGCCACAGGCCCTTGTGTTTATTTGCCAGCGAACACAACTGTAAATCAGCCCGTAGTGGCTAAATTGATAACCTTGAATGTAAGGCCTGATACCTTTAACAGCGTGTAATAGACACACTGATGGGGTTCAAGCATTTGCAGAGGTCTGATTGAAGTGTAATTGGTCACAGTTCTTCCTTTCAGCACTCACACACTTTTTCAGCTCCATCCTTACTTAGTTGTGCAGTTTATTTTGCTAGCATTTTTTGAAGATCACAGTTGTACTAGTAAGAAACTGAGGAGGGTCAAAGTTACACTGGAGCGACTTCATCGACATGAAAGATGGATGGGACGGCTCCTCCTCACCCACTACTGAAATGTCATCTGAGCGCTCGGTGTCTTTCAGGACCTTGTTGAGCATATGAGGAGATCACAGATTTGTGCGGAAGTGCTGTCCCGTTTTTCTCTCAGCCTGACACACTCCTCTTTTGTCTGTCCATTTTTCAGAGAGAAGAACTTTAATGGCTTCCAGGTAGAGAGAAAGAGGCAGCAGTCAAGATGAACTCGATTCCTTCGATGGATAGGCACATACAGCAGACCAATGACAGGCTGCTGTGCATCAAACAGGTGAGGAGACAAGAACCACAGTGACACAATGACCGTCTGTGTGTCTGTCTGTCTGTCTGTCTGTTCATTGTTCCAGAATGCCCCACTGTCTCTCTGATGGCAATCTGTAGTTTTCCATTAGCTTGGCTCATATCAGGTTGTCGAATATGGTTGGAGTCTGAACCCTGTTGTCCTCTTTGGCTGTTTTCCAAGCATCCTCTATCAGCCGACGCTTGTTTTTGTGTACACAAACACAGGCACACTAAATGCAGACATGCCATAGACTTCTTTTACTTTTAAATTGAGCTAATTATACTACTGTTCAAAAATTTTGGCACCAGAAGATTAAAAAAAAAAAAAAAATTAATACTTTTATTCAGCAAGAACACACTGAATTAATCAAGAGTGAAAGTAAAAATATTTATAATGTTACAAAAGATTTATATTTTAAATAATTGCTGTTCTTTTGAGCTTTATATTCATGAAAGAATCCTGAAAACAACCAATTTCAACATATAATGTATATACAGTTTTCTGTAATATTATCAGTAAGAATCATGTGACACTGAAAACTGTAGCAGTGACAGCTGAAAATTCAGCTTTGTCATATCAGAAATAAATAACATTTTGAAATATATTAAAATAGAAAACCGTTATTTTAAATAGTAATGATATTTCAGCATATTGCTGTTTTTACTATATTTTTTTAAACACATAAATGCAACCTTGGGCCCCCCTTTCCTTTAAACGTATTATATTGGAATGTCCCGCAAGTAGAAAACTTTTATATGAAGTACGCTCACTCAGGGACTTTAGTAAGATTTTACCAGAAAAGATTTGAGATTTTCTATCATATGGTAATTTTAAAAAACCTGGAAATAATAACAACCTGCTGTATTTTTGTGTTTGCTTGGTTTTCATTTTGTGTTTATGCAAATCATGTATTATCCCAATGTCAGCATTTAAGGCCATCTTCATTGCAATAAAATTAATAACTACTAACACTGCTACTACTAAATGCAGCCTTGGTGACACTTCGTTCAAAAACATTAAAAAGTCTTACCAACCCCAAACTTGAGCGGTAGCGTATAATAATGACTACAGATTAACTCAAAACCTACCCTATACCTAAAAACTTATTACATTTTCCCCTATTGATTTGACACATATTTATCACAGACTCATGGTTTTAAACAGAGTTTCTAAACCATAAGCCCATCAGTAGGTATCAGTGCATCGAAAGCAAAGTTTTGACTGATTTAGCACTTCAGATTATGAAAACCACTTCAAATGTCCTCATGTTTTAATATATCAGAGAGGATATTTGAGAGAAAAAAAACAAAATAAAAGGCACTCACAACTATAACCAAACTTACACACAAGTAGGTATGACCCAAGGCTATGTCTTGTGATTCTTGAATTTGATAATTACAGTGTGCTGTGTAGGTGTGACAGTTTGCATATCTCGACAGATTTATGGAAATATTTGACATGCCAACTTGTATATTACAGACAGTTCAGCATTTTTCGTGTCCGCACAGATTTCCGCATATACCTAAAAACTTATTACATTTTCCCCTATTGATTTGACACATATTTGTCCTCAAAGTACACACATCACAGACTCATGGTTTTAAACCATAAGCCCATCAGTAGGTATCAGTGCATCGAAAGCAAAGTTTTGACTGATTTAGCACTTCAGATTATGAAAACCACTTCAAATGTCCTCATGTTTTAATATATCAGAGAGGATATTTGAGAGAAAAAAAACAAAATAAAAGGCACTCACAACTATAACCAAACTTACACACAAGTAGGTATGACCCAAGGCTATGTCTTGTGATTCTTGAATTTGATAATTACAGTGTGCTGTGTAGGTGTGACAGTTTGCATATCTCGACAGATTTATGGAAATATTTGACATGCCAACTTGTATATTACAGACAGTTCAGCATTTTTCGTGTCCGCACAGATTTCCGCTAGGCTTTGTTGTCTCTGCATCAATTAGGCTAGTCTTAGCGCTAATAAGCTCATGTCTACAGCATGTAAGAATCCACTGAATTTTCTGAGCCTATTTAATTGGTTACAAATGACACCGTTATCTCTGTTTTGCATGGAAGATTGAGCCTGATTAAAACTAAAGACAAAACGCAAACAATTGCTGCTCATTAATCATATTGATATGGCACATTTAGTGTGGTGAGAGTCGTCAATTATTAATATGTTCAGTGCCAGTGTTGTCCCAGTGAGCTCAATTTAAGCAGAGACGGTATTTGTATTTTAAAGTATACTTTATCATTTTATGTCCACATAATATTTTAGTCAAGGTTTTTTTGTTTTGCAGCAGTAACAACAGTAATAAAGTTTTGCACTTCCATATGTACAGTAAATTACCTCTAGTTAATATGGAAATGCCAATACCTTTACAATTTCTAAATGTGTGCTTGTTTGTGACATCAATATGTCAAAAACCTGATACTCTATCAATCTAATGGGGGTGTTTTCTTTCTTCTCTGTCCCATTTCCCTCCTTTCATCATTCTGTCATCCTGTCACTCAATCACACGCCTGCCTGTCATACAATCAATTCTTCCCTCAACTTTACTCAGTTGGTTATAATGACAGTAGTGTAAAACATTATGTCCAGTCTCATGACTAACATCATCATGTTGTGATTGAAATGTCGATCAAACGGACCACTTTCTCTCTTGACTTCTTTGACTTTTTCTATCCTCATACTACCACTCTCGCACTGTCATCTGACTTTCATTTACATTTTCTCCATTGCCTTTTTTCCCCTGTTTGTTGAGCTTCATTTCAATTTTACTAACTGAAACTCTTATCATTCATAGTGTTTACCTTTGAATGCATGATGAAGGTTCGGATGATCAGAACAATTCTCTTGGTTCATTCTCCATCAAGAACATGAGGAGGAATTTAATGACTAGAAATAATAAGTGAAACACGGCACAGCGACTCAGTTTAATTAGACAGGCTTTCTTTTCTTTTTCTTCTTAAGAAGAAATTATCATTCACATGGAACATGAATACAAATTTGCTGAAGAGTATTCTGAAACTGGAGGAGGCAGTTATTCATGGTCCATGTCCCGTGCAGGACTGATGAAATGAGCTCGTGCTCAGGGATTTCCAATGACAGATTAGCTGATGAGAGGAATTGCCCTTAAGATTTCAAGATCCTGACCTTCTTTTATTGTCTTGCATCTGAGCAAAGTGTTGAATGTGACTGAATAATTTGAAGATTTCCTTCCATAAAATGTCCTAATATGACTTTTATTTTCTTAATTTAGTAGTTTTCTGTACCAGAAACAAGAATATAGTTGTTGTTTTTTTATTTTAAAAGGTTTTTTAAATAATTTAAAATTATATAAATATATGATAAATTTGCATTTATAGAAAAAAAAAAACTTGTGATAAGCAGAGACAGTATTTCTATATTAATTCTAATATTTTAGTGAAAATTTTCTTGAAAAATATATATGTGACCCTGGACCACAAAACCAGTCATAAGGGTCAATTTTTCGAAATTGAGATTTATAAATCATCTGAAAGCTGGATAAATAAGCTTTCCATTGATGTATGGTTAGGATATGACAATATTTGGCTGAGATACAACTATTTGAAAATCTGGAATCTGAGGGTGCAAAAAAAAATCTAACTATTGAGAAAATTGACTTTAAAGTTGTCCAAATGAATTCTTAGCAATGCATATTACTAATCAAAAATGAATGTTTTAATATATTTACAGTAGGAAATGTACAAAATATCTTCATGGAACATGATCTTTACGTAATATCCTAATGATTTTTGGCATAAAAGAAAAATCAATCATTTTGACCCATACAATGTATTTTTGGCTATTGCTACAAATATACCCCAGTGACTTAAGACTGGTTTTGTGGTCCAGGGTCACATATTTAAAGATATATATAAATAGAAATGTATGACTTTTAAAGATCAATGACTTTTCCAGACCTAGAAATCCTGTTTAAAATAACATGATATTTCCAGGTTTCCATGTAACGTTATATATGTAACTATTCTAATGGTTTTGACATATTACTTCACACTGATTCATTTTTGCCGCCTAGTTCCTATAACTGGACTGGGAGGACAGCAAGAAAAAGAGCAAGTTTAATTCAGTGATATTGTAGTATAGGTGATCAGAAGTGTAGATGTCCAGGCCTGGTCAAGTAACAAGACTTCAATGCCTCTGGAGTGACTAATAGTAATACACAGAGCTGCCCTGAGGTGAAGAGGTCCTGTTTGGACACTGCGTGCTTAGCAGGGGAAAGGTGGAGTGTTGAGATTTGGCTGCTGTTGCATTAACACCTGTGTTGTGATCCTGCCAAAAACCCTTCACTGCTGACACACTCTCTGAGTGCCCACCATCACAACAGCGAGCTTTCCATCCCCTCCTCTCTTTCATGATAATCGTGCGGTCAGAGCCAGACACCAGAATGTCCGATTAAGCAAAGAATTGCCTCCCTAAAAATGAAGATTCTTTTCCCCCAGCTTTTTGCGGCGAGAAGGGGGAACATTTTATCCCCGCATATCCCTTATGCTGTGCAGGATTTACTCAGCAGGGTTCTGCAGCAGTAGACATTGCCTCTTTGTCAGATGAGCTCTTTGTCAACACACACCAAAGCCACTCATTCAAATGGTGACCTCTGCCGCCCTCGGAAGACAATGCCGCTTCCTCACTGCGAGCCGGGGAAGAGGAGGTGTCCATCGGAGTATAATGGTCTTCAAAGTGTGCAGTCTCCTCCTCAGAGCGGCCAAACAGCGCCGGAGCATTAAACGTGCAAAGGCTCTGAAGAGGGTGTACAGATTGCTCGTTTGTTTAAATTTCTTGTCATGTCTTGTGCGCCACCGGTCACTGGAGAGTTTGGGTGGGGGGAAGGCGGTCCTGAGGGGAGGATAAACAACCTCGGCGCTCAATAAATAAAAAGATACATAGGGAAAAGAGAATGAGCCTCTTTTCATTGAATTCTGCCACAAAGCCCCCCCCTCTTGTGCTCGCCTTATTGGCCGGCCCTGCTTGACTATTACTTTCAGAGGTGCAGATCTATTACATCTTAGTGGACAAAAGATGATGAAGAGTCTGGATTAGGACGCACTGCGGTGTGTGAGGAGGCCTTGAAGCACACTGAGCTCTTTGTCAGGAGGGTGGATCTGTCCCAGAATGCACAGCTGCGTTCAGACCAGGAGGCCTTGGGTTACCGGCTGGGTTCTTGCAGGGCTGTGCAGATGCACCGAGTCAGAGGGCAGTATGAGTTGGAGCACTTGGCCAACTGAAAGCGATATCCACATTTAGCTCAAAATACCACCCCTTGTCGAATACTGGTTGTAAATATGCCATAAAATGTTTAAGGAATCTGGTATATGATTTAGAAAGGAGCAGAATCAGTTGAGTGGTTGGTTTTTTGGTTCACATGCTTTCAAATGTTTTTTTTTTAATTATTATTTAAATATTTTTCTGTAGGTTTTCAAGTGCTTCTGTCTGTTTAAAGAAATAATTTAGAATATTCTAGAACAACGTCGAAATTATATTCTTTTTTTCACATAAAATTGTTTTGACATGTCCCTCAGTTTTGAAAAAAAGTTTTTAAATGCAGTTTTAATATGAATGTATTAAGTAATAGCTATGTTAGTAGTAGTAGTTGTTGTTATGTTGATTATATTTTATGATGTATTAAATATATTAAGTTATATTTATGAATGTGAAGCTCATATTTTTATTACAAAATGAAAGGTAGTTGACTCAGAAATGAAAATTGTCATTTACTCACACTCGTGTTATTCCGAACCTGTATGATTTTCTTCTGTGGAGCAAAAGACTGTATTTCCATTGTACAGGTTTGGAATGACATGAGGGTGAGTACATGATG